TAGTAAACTGAAGACCAGGAAAGCAGCCAGTCTTCGCAACATACTTACTGAACAAATCAAGCAATTCAGGCCCCAGACTTGCAAATGGCTCCTTTGCCTATCTATACAACTCATGCGCAGCCAGTCAAAAAATTCCAAAGATATGGTGACAAGCTCAGGTAGTGGGACTTCTAATGCCAGGGAAAGATCCAGCTGACTTAAAGAGCTTCAGATGCATCTCTCTGCTATTGCACACATAAAAATTGTGCAAACGACTGACTAATACTGAACTAGCTTGCCCCATACGTGGATAAACACCTAATCCCTGAACATGGCAGCCTTCACCCTGGAAAATCAACGAGCCAGCTGCTCAGTCTAACTCAACATACTGAGGATGGTTTTGAAAGAGGCCAAATCACTGGAGCTCTTTTTAGTGACTTAACAGCTGCCTATGATACAGTTAACCACTGGCAACTCCTCCACAAGACCCTGGCATTGACAAAAGATTGACACCTTACAGAGCTGATATGAACCCTACTCGCAAACAGACAATTTTTGTCAAACTGGATGGGAAGCGAAGCAGATGGAAGTGACAGATTAATGGCTTCCCACAAGGAAGCGTGTTTGAATCACTGTTATATAACATATACGAATGATCAATCAATTGCTTTGGAAAAAAACCTTTTGCGCTAGATGGGAGAGATCCATACATGCTAAGTGCCTTTTACCCCATTTTGAATGAGAGCTGCCAATGCATCGTAGGATGTCTGAAACTTACCATCCTAAACAGGGTGTACCTGCTGGCTGGCATCACTCTGCCTGACATCAGAAGAGCAGTGGCCAGCAGAATAGACCAACTGAGACAAACTGAAGATGTGAGACACCCGTTGTATGACCATCCTGCAGCACACAAATGTTTGAAGCCACGCAGGAGTTTCCTCACCAGCACCCAACCTCTCAATCACAGGCAACACATAGGAGGGACATGGCAGGGGGCATGTGCCTCCCCTGAGATTGGTCACTGAAACCATTGCTGGCTTCTGTGGGTCGTTGTTGCACCCCTCCCCCCAACCGTCCTTTGCTGCTGACACAGCTGCTGGTGACTGCGGGCAGTCCTTGCTTGCTGCCCGCCGCTCAGCACTCCCCAGCCATGGTGCTCCCCTCTCACCGCCATGGTGCCCCCCCCAGTTGCAGGAGGCACCAGTCGTTCATGCTCTCAATGCCACACCCAAGGAGACATGACTACAGATGTGGAACAAGAGGCTGAAGAAAATACCTGACAGCAAAAAAATGTATATTCCAGCAGCCTAGTCCGTACCACCATGGGTTGATGAACCATGGCAAAGGAAGGTCTCAACCACCAAGGAACTAATGAAGAAGTGGGGCTATACTATTGGTGCAACCACATGTGACTGGCACAGAGCCTCAGACTATGCAACACCTGCTGCAGTGCCCGCTGCTCAGAGGCACATGTACAATGAAAGGTTTTGCAAAGTATAATAAACAAGCACAAGCATGCGTAACAAAATGGTCAAATGTGGTAGAAACACAAGAAGCAGCAGCAACCAAAAAACAAAAGAAAACCCCAAACAAAAACACAACAAAAAACCTTCTAAACCAACCACACACCTTAAATGCAAATAAGACTCTCTCAAAACCTCATTATACTAATCTTAGCCTATGATTAATCTTAGGTTATCTTATGACTTTTAAAGGTTTCCCATGGGACCCTGCTTGAATCACGAATTGGAGGACTGTCCATGTACTTGCAAAGAGAACACAGAATAGGCAATGCAAATTTTTACATATTAAAAACAGGACCATCTTTCAAAAAGAGGCTCATTCCTAGTAGTTATTCTTAGATGCTGTCCTGGTGACATGAGACAGGAATTCAGAGTCTGCCTCACCTGTCCTGATTTGGAGGAATTGCTTGTCACTTTTCTGGCTATAACTTTATTGCTGATATTGCTGTAGTTTTATCCCTTTTCAAGACACTGGCCCCATACAAAATGTTGAATTTTTTTTTTTTACTAAGTGAATTTGGACAGGTGCCAAAAAAATCTGTGGTTATGTTGCAAGGCCTCCTTCTTAGGGTTGCTGCAATGGCAGAACTTTAGGTTCTATTATGAACCTAATAACTGCATAGTTCTGCAATGGCAGAACTATGGTTGCTATTATGGACCTATCTCAGTGGTGGCCCGTGCCACTGAGCTGCCTCTAGATAAATGGAGAGGGAAGAGGGTGGAGGCTTAACCAAAAGTAAAAATGCACATGTATGTGCTGTGTAGCCGGACAGTAACCAAGCTACTACCCCAACAGTAATAACCTCTACATTACACACTTCTCAATTAGAAAGAAAAAGAATAAAAACCGTACTGAGCAGTGAAATGCAAATATTCCCAGCAATGGATCACAATATGGTCACTCTTACAACTATCATTAATCTTTAAAAAACTGATATTTATTTAACTTTTTTCATACCACTTACTCTAACTCACATAGTTGAGTTCTGAATAGCTTTCACACACACAATGGATTCATCATGGTTAGAAGGAATTGTTGGCTACAATGTCCCCTTTATCTCATTGATGCATGCAAGGAAATTTTTCTTTCTGTTTTCCTAAGCAGAGGGTTATGATGTTTGTCAGGTGTAAGGGTTCTAGCCTCCATGGGATTTAGTGCCTTTATTCTAATGGCTTCAACAGATATAGAGGTGCTAATCACTTCATAGGATCAGGGCCTTTCATACTCAAAATTTGAGAAATTTTCACATGCTACATTCAGATTATCGTTTGCCTTCCATCAACATCTGCTAGCATCTCCTGCAATTGTAATACTTGCTACACTGTTACAAGGAAACAAGCGAAATTCTTGCTTTGTAATCAGTGACCAGAGAGGCACAATAATGAATGATGGTTCATCAAGTGCTTTGAGCACTTCACCACTGTATAAGAGATCAAGGGGACACTCAAATTTAACAGCAACAAATTTAAACACTCATAAAGCTAATATTATTTACATTAACAACTTAGGTAACTCAAAGGCTACAGACAGAATTAACAAGGATATTGGTATAAAATTATACAAACTGTTATGATATATGGTAACTTATGACTGTGTGTTCCAACAGTCTTGTGTTTACCAAACCTTATGGTTGATGCCTCCTCATAGCAAACCCAGGCATTTGCACACCCTAATTCAGCCATCACTTTATTTGCCAACAACTTTTCTCTGCTTCCATTTGCTGCTAGTTCCACTCACCAGGGGCAATCAGTATTAGGAAAGCCATCAGCAATTAGTGGTGAGGGGCATCAGTGTGGGGAAAGTGACAATGGAGGATGAAGTAGGGAGAGCATGAGAGTGGGTGAAGTAGGGAGGCAAATTGGTTCTCATGCGCAACCTCCCCAGGAACTTTAACAGACCTGCAGGGGTAGATGGCCCATAGTTTGGGAAATGCTACTATAGATCTCTACATGTAGCCAAGTTGTTGTTATTTTAACCTGTTTTATTTAGGGATAAAGGTACAGAGATTTAATTAATTTATACCACTATAGGAGCATACAGATGTAACAGATTGTAAAAGCTGAAGTACACTTTCAAAACAACCTACTCCTCCTTTCCTTTCAAACTAGTTGAAAAATACATCTGCCTACAGCCGAATTTTCCTTTTTTAGGGAAAACGGGAACTCTCAATGTTAGAGAACAGGAAAAATCTTCCCCCTTGGATTTTTTCTTCCATAATTACCCACTGTGCATATACCTTTGCACATTCTGCTGAAGTGTCTGGTGCTGGGGACAGGGTCCTAGACTAGACAGACTATTAGTCAAGTTCACTGTCTTCATTTTTATGTTCCTATCTAGGAACAGACAGGGTATGAGTTTACCACGGTTACAGCTTTCACCTCTATTCCCACAACAGGGTTTTCTGCATTTTCTCTAAGGGTGAAAACATATCACATTTGTACTGCCATAAAAACTTTTATAGCAGCACAAAGGCCACGCAAAGAGCATACACGCCCCTTTTCATGCTGCAAAATCCCAGAATTTGTGGTTACAATATAGATAGTATCAATTTGTGCCCTTTATTGCAGCAGATACCTGCTAGGTTGGTGACAGAAATGTGCGGTCAGCTCAGACCTGTCCACGCTCTGCAGCTGCCCCAGATAGCCACTGTCAGGGCTTCAAGGGCCCTAGCCTGTGCACCCCAGGAATTCCCATTCCCAGGGCATGCAGGATCAAGCCCCGGACACACAAGAAGTGCCTGCCTGGGTTTCCTCAGGTGCCTGTAGACACTCCAGTGAAGCCCCAGGGCAGCTGACACTAACTGGCAGAGACACTCCCTGGAGATGATTTACTTCAGTGTGTCTCTGTAAGAGGGGAAAGCCAGGCAGGTGCCCCCAGGGTTTGAGGGGCCTGATCCTGCACAAGAATTCCCAGGGCATGAAGGACCGGGCTCCTGTAGTCCCAGGAAAACACATTGCTTGTCCTGCAGGGTCAGTTGGTGGGACAACAGACTACTTGTGTTTTGCCCAATGAAGTAGATCCACTGTGCACATCCTGACAGAGCTGATCTGCTTAATTTGGCAATGTCTATTTCTAGCCTTGGATCTCCATCATTGTCTACTTTACTCCTCTGCCTTCAGCACGTTTGATGTCATGGCAACCACCACTCCTGAGTTAGCCCCTGTGAAATTTCCTGTCCTCCACCTTCTACCTTTCTACCTCAGTATTGATGTGGTGGTTATGACAGCCCTGTCTGAGCACCTATGAGAAACGTGCCTGGAAAAGCAATTGCTGCCCATTGTGACCTCTGGATCACAATGGGCAGCATTAACCAGTATTTTCAGTCCTAACATATCTTTTAAAAAAATTTCCTTCACTTACATATGCTGTAACATAAATACTTGATTAAATGAACTATAGATTAATTGACTTTAAGTAATCAGAGTAAAAACGGAGGTAAAGAAATGGCTTTAAATTATAACATTTAAAACCAATCCCATTTCCCTCCAAGTCCTCACCTGTGGAAGGATGACTTAGCACTTCTTCAGGGAAAAATCTGTTAATGGGCACAGAGGATTTTGATGGATCCTTTTTTTCTCTTTCAGTGACTTTAGTTCTAAAGTTAGTAAAGAATGTCCTGATATCACTCCTCTGTGAAGGATCTACCGTGTTATCCTTGGAAATTTTGTTCTTGAGCCTTAGAGATGAAACAGAAAGGTTCTTTTGTTTACTAGTAAGCATGTCATCTCCTGAAGATCTCAGAGGAGTCTCTTTCAGGGTAAACTTTTCTAGGAGTCTTGGTACATCCTCTATCTTGGTGTAAGATGATTTTTCAGGCTTGGAAGGACTGGTATGCAAACTGCAAGCAGGAAAGTGTACCTCCGTGTACCCATATGGAGACTTCTCTTCAAGACTAGTGAAAATATTAGATGAGGTTTTACTTGAGTTCCTCAGTTCAGACTCTTCTCCTGGATGCCTCGGCACACTGGACCCCTGTGGCTGTCCTCCATTGCTATTGTTTAGACTCACAGAGTGACTGGCATTATTAGGGAAGCTGAAGAAAGTATGTTCTGAATGAGGTTTCCTTTTACTGTCTGAGCTCTTTTTTATGCTTTCTGAAGGAGAGATAAGAGGCTCTAGAATGGATTTCTTTATTGCACTGGCAATTAGTTTCAATGGTGATTTTGGTTGGCTAGGCAGTTGTTCTCCTCCAGTATTGTCCAGACTCTTCTGAATATCTTTTGCATTAACTGGCACAATTGGCAAGGCTTCATTTTCAAATGGAGAAAGCACAGATATACTGTTTTCTCTTGCATTGTTGTCAGCATCCTTCTGTTCTGAAATTTCCAGAGCTCTGTTGCTTTGATACCCTGGTTTTGTTCCACTTAGGTCTGCGTTGTTTGAAACATTTAATTTGAATTGCTGCTCTGAAGAAAGCATTAACTTCCTTGTTATCCTTTTCTTTATCTCATTTAGTTCAGCCTTTTCTTTTGGGTGTCTTGAATTTTTTTCATCTTTTTCCTCCAAATTCAGCGAGGACAAATCTACTATTTTTCTTCTAGAGGCCCCTCTTTCTGCTAAAGGCTCCTGTTCCCTGATATTCTCATTCCAGGTTTCTAATTTGTATTCCTCAGCATTACCATCCTCATATTCATAGTTATATAAATTGGCATCTGGTGATACAGATTCTGAATGTTTCAAAAAAGAATCCCCAATACTATTCTGAACCGGATGATGAAGCACATATAAAGGGATTTCTTCAGGTGTTTCTCTGGTTTTTGACTTTCTTTTAAATATTGGGCTGTAGGGTTTGAAATGTCTTGTAATTTCAGGTGGCTTGTTGTTAGACATCAACTGCATAATAAAAAAATAGCTCATTATATTCTTTATTAACCAGAAATCTGAAATAAATATCAGTATATACATTTCCAAAGTTCACTTACACTCATTCTACTAGAGAGTTTATCTTTTGTTTCCTCACATCCCTGTGCTGTATTTTTAAAAATATAGGACAGAGAGCTAATACCACTGGAAACTGTTACACTAAACTGTCTAAGAATTAATTTCTACAATGAGTGTGTGTCCCTTTTTATATATACCGGAATCCTTTACATATACCTTACATTTACTTATACTTTGTATTTACCTCCTTGCTTTAAGTTGACCTTCAATATTTTTCTTGGAAAGGATCATTCCCTACTACAGGAATATAAACAAATGAGGACCTACCCGCTTCCCCGCTCTATTTCAGCTGCACTGTGTTAAAGTTTTATAGCAAACACAGAGACATTATATCTGGTTTCATTAGAAATATTACACTTTTTTGATTAGTGCAGCCAAGAATAACTGAAGCAACCTTGCAATATATGGAAAATGAAGGATGGTAGATTTAAATGTTTTTAAACAAACTTACAACTTGTGTAAGTGCTTAACTTCTAATTCCAGATACTGAAATCTTCATTTTATTTGAAATACAGATACTACAAGATGTCTTTAGTGGCTACACCTGGAGAGTCCTCTTTTAGAGATGAAGAGCTTCCATCCTTCATATTTTGAAGACGAAGGAAGTTGTGTGTGCTGAAGGCATAGGGCTAGTCAGTAAGGGGATACTGCTTCTATTCCCACCTCTATCCAAAATGTTCCATAGGAGCTTGAACCTCCCTATGTTGTATTTTCCTATATGTAAAATGGTGGCAAATACAATTATTCCCTGATTCATACTAGTCTTTTGATAGTTAAAATTGATGCTTGTGAGGACCTTTGATAGACCAGTGATAAATACCACAGAAATGTCCATACATAATACATGCCTATTCAGTCCTCTCTGCTCAGACTAGTAACAAGAATGCCTTACCTACAGTTCTGACAGTGAATTTATAACATGCAGACTTGTCAAATACTATCTGCAGTAATATTATCCAGACCACTGAACCAGTCATCTATCATTATTATCCTGGACTGGCTATGAACTACTGCCATTGATGTAGAAGGCTCTAGATCATATAACAAAGCCCCTAAGATCAATAAGTTTTCATCATATTTAATGAGATGGTTAGGATACTAGTTAGAACCTTTGGCACCTGGGTTCAAGTCCCTACTCTGCCTCACTCTGGGACAGAGAGAGGTGCCCATCTCTGCTCAGGATTCTCTAGCGTGAACACTTTCTGCAGTAAGGTGCTTAAATCAGGTCAACCCTTGCTTACACAAAAAAACACAGAAAAAGAGAGAGACTGACTTATTCTGGGGCTTCTGGACTTCTCTTGGGATTAAAGTGCATACTCTGAATCAGAGTTAAAAATGGGTCGGCCACCTAATAAGTCACTGGAGGATTCCCAGATAAAATGGGACAGACAGGCACACACATGCGCACATATGCATTTTCTCTCTTAACCTCTCAACAGCTTTCTTTTGTGTGAGCCTGGATCTAAGGATGCCTAATGGATCAGATAGGTGGGCCAGTACCTTGTGTTGAATGTGTGAGGGCACAGACATGAGCTAGGGCTCCAAGCACCTCAGTTGCATCAACACTTATTTACACACAGAGATAACTGGAACCTTGAGCGCCCTGGGCGGCAGCGGCTCATGGGTGAGTATCAGTGGCTGTGCCACGGGGGGCAAAGCCGGCAGCAGAGCTGCTACTATTTTTGCACCCACTGCCCCTCCCCTGGGGCTGGTGACTTGGTCTCCCACCTTTGTTATAATACTGACTTTGGCTATACCCATAAGCAGAAACTTAGGCATTGTGGGACCCTGGTGCCTATCTAGTGAGACAAAAGTTGAGTGGGACTTATGAATCTCAGAAATGTTTAAATGCTGGCAAAACTGACAGTTTGGCATCTAGGCAAAATGTTAAGCCCTTTGTCCATGTCTACACAGTCTCCCTGGCCAGTCACTCACTTCCCAGGTTGCCCCCCAGAAAAGCCCCACCCTTCACTCCCCCTCCACATATGCCAAAGCCTGACATTAGGCAACAAAGTAGCTTAGAGTTCACACCCCAGGGCATGGCCTTTATGATTTAGGGGCCAAAGTATCTTGGGAGCTTTAGAAAACTGTACACTTTTCCCCTCTGGTAAAATGGGAATAAGTCTCTGCCTTGCAGTAGGGCTGTGAATTATCTGTGAGGTGCTTCAAGAGTATAGTAATGGGGGTCACAGAGGTACTGAGGATGGACAAACATAGATCTTTGTTTTGTATCTATTTTTTACTCTACAAGTATATTCCTGCATACCTGTGTTGGGGGGAGATCATCCTCAAGAGCAGACTGAATACTGCCTGAATTCTCCTTTGAATGCAGCCCGGGTTTCTTGCTATACAGGAGTGGGAAATCTGCCAAACAAATGCAAAAAAAATCCACATTTTACTCCAACTATTCCATCCTAAATAAAACCTGCAATTAGACAACAAGAGTACGTGGAAGTCAACTGGTTATATACTACTGTCTGACATACCACATGCCACCAAACAAGCCACACACCTTGTTTTTTGGAAAGGCAGAATGAAGGAAAAAAGATTTTTCCAGAGTTATGGCATCATGGTTCAGGGACAGAGCTAAAAATCTGGAAATCTGTGAAATAAAGGAAGAGAGACCAGGAGTAGCTAACAGACAGCAAAATATCCAGAAGAAAGATTAGTTTGATTAGTGGAACACTGAGACCATTAAAAAGGAGGAAGGATCATTAACACCGGCAGAATGAAGTACTACAAGCCAATCAATTGACTTCCTCAACTGTCTGAACAGCAATGCAATAGCTGCTATCAGGTAGTTAGTTTTGCAGCAGGGATTGAAGTGGGGTGCTTCTACTCTGGGCAGAAAAATAAGCACCCCTCCAAATTTGACAGGGCTAACTTGGGGAGAAGGTGGGGGAGGGAGTGTGGTATGTGAGAAAATTTCTTATGTCCCGTGTAATTGGGTTTCTCTAGCCAGCCTGTGTTTGTACTAGGGCTGTGCAAGGCTTTGGACTGTGCTTCAAATCCAGAGAAGCTTTGGATGCTTCAGCATCTGAAGCAGCATGTCCGGACTGAAGTGCTGGATTCGTTAGGCTTTCCGAAGCAGTTTGGAGCTTCCGAACCGCTTCGGAAAAGCTTCGGAGATCCGGCCATAGGTTATAATGGGGAATCAATGAAATACCTATAACTTTGTTGTTCTTTGTCTGATTTGGATGAAATTTACAGGAGTGGTAGCTTCTCCTGAGGGCATGAAGCCTGCCAAGTTTCAAGAAGATAGGTGCAGGGGTTTAGGGGGAACTGAACCCCAAATTCTTGAAAGCAAAATTCATGTCATATCTATGTGTTATACCAAAGGGGGTGAAAACTGCAGGGGTAGCAGTCCCTGCTCAGGCCACGAAGCCTGCCATCTGTCAAGGGGATAAGTGCAGGGGTTTGGGGAAAACTGCACCTCAAGCTGCTGACAGGCAAAACTCGTGACATAGAGGATCCTGTGTGTGTTAAGACGCAGCGGGCTGAAAACTGCAGGGGTAGCAGTCCCTGCTCAGGCCACGAAGCCTGCCATCTGTCAAGGGGATAAGTGCAGGGGTTTGGGGAAAACTGCACCTCAAGCTGCAGACAAGTAAAACTTGTGACATGGGTGACACTGTGTATGTTAAGGCGCAGCAGGCTGAAAGCTGCAGGCCTGCTAGGCCTCGCTGAGGCCACGAAGCCTGCCAGCCATCAAGGAGATCAGTGTAGGAGGGTTCTGGGGCCCTGCACCCCTAGCTGCTGACAGACAAAACTCGTGACATGGGTGCTTGTGCAACTGACTGTTTGTCTTGGGGCAGTTGATTGTCTATTCATTATTTCCTCTCCTTAGTCTGTGGTTTTGTAGGTGTTAATCCATGCTCGTTAACTCATTATGTAGTAGCTAGGTACTGTATATTGAGCTGGTCCTTGAGTGAATCATGATTAATTGGTAACTGGTAACACAGTAGCTTAGCAGCCAGGCCTGCAGCTGTAACATGAATTTTGCTTTCAAGAATTAGGAGTACAGTTCCCCCAAACCCCTGCACAAATCTTCTTGAAACTTGGCAGGTTTCATGCTCTCAGCAGAGGCTACCACCCCTGCAAGGTTCATCCAAATCAGACAAAAAAACAACAAAGTTATAGATATTTCATTGATTCCCCATTATACCCTATGGCCGGATCTCCAAGGTGGCTCCGAAGCTTCGGAGCTGCTTCGGCCGGACTGACGTGGGAACCTGGTCCGGAGCTCTGGATCAAACCACTGGCATCTGAAGTGGCCGGATCTGAAGCTGGATCAAATAGCTGCTTACTTGCACAGGCCTAGTTTGTACACATTCTGGGGCATGTACAGGTGCCTGCACTCTACACATGCTGAGAGCAAGTCCATAACTTCAGAACTGGGCTTCAGTTTTCTGATGTGGTGCCTGAAGCATCCTAAAGTGTCCAATACTTAATACTTACAGAAAAATCAGCTTTTTTCCACATCTTGTGGCACCCTAAAAGCTGGTACTCTCCAAATCATTCCTCAATTTTTGAAAATTTGGGTAAAAAAGCTCTGAGATGGAGAAAAATGTCTGCCTTAAAGTTCTGCCTTAAATAAGGAGGCATTGGGATATATGACTGGACAATAAGGAGAAAAGTAACCCCATGGTTCTTATTATCCTGGAGGCAGTGGTAGAGCACTGGAGGGCTGCTGTGTAATAATAGAACCATAGAAAATTGGAGTTGGAAGGGACCTCAGGAGGTCATCTAGTCCAGCCCCGCACTCAAAGCAGGACCAACTAGATCATCCCGGTCAAGACTTTGTCTCATGGGAGTCAATTATGTAAGGCCTTCAACCAACAAGGGTGGACAAATGTAGGCTTAGTAAAGGAAGTATATGCAAATGAATACAGTAAACTAGCATAGAAACCTCATGTTGTGCTTAAATACTTTAATATTTGCATGTGCATGGATCTAGCATAACAAACATGTCTTTGGCAAAAAAAGAAAAGGAAAAAAAATATTCCCAAGTCAAGATATTACCTACCAAGTTTTAGCTTGGAAAGTATTTTTATAACAGAACTATAAACTCTAGAAAACAAAAGGTTCATAATGCAAATCCTGGACGCATCTTAATTGCAGAGAATGCTGCTAGAATATTATATAAGGGTAGAGTCTCAAAATTAGGAATATACAATAAACAAGAAGTGCAGGAAACAAGGAAAATGATCTAAGCGATTGCATATGGAGTTCAGATGAGAGAGAGAGAGAGAGAGAGAGAGAGAGAGATTCAGAAAAAATGGCCAGATTGGGTCCAAGTAGTGTTACTTTTAGGCAAAAGTGGGTGAAAGTCATGTTACTAAATTAAAATTTCACAAAAATTTGACAGGGATTTATTAAATCCTAAAAGCAACCAGCACAAATATGTTGGAAGAAAACACATCCAGCTTTTCTCATCCAGAGGGAAGGATGCTACAATTCTGATTAATCTCTTTCATACTTGGCCAAAATTTGCTCTGCAGTCTGTATTTCCTAGTACTGCTAATTCTTCGCCAAAAATAAAAAATAGCTTACTAAAAGTAGGCACTTGGTCAGGTAAATCCAGAAGTGCTCCATTCTGATTACTGCAGCAAATATAAACTACTTATTCTCTCTTTCAAGGACCCTTCAGAGCTTATCTCCACTGTATCCATCACCTTATCGCTAACAAGAAGTTGACTTCTGCATCTGATTTCACCAATGATTCCAGTCTCTGTTGCCCACTTGTCAAATTTACAACCAAGAAACTGCGTGCTCTCATGTTTGAAAGGAGCTCTCTATAAATATCCACAAAACTGATACAATATCACCCTTCAAATCAAATTAAAATAAACGATCACCTCCATCAGTCAGATTTTCTTCTACCGTCCATGTAGGGTTAAATCCTATTTCACTTTATGTGCCTAAATGACACGTATTTAGCAACAGAACTGCATTTTTGGCACATAGGCACAATTCACAAAATAGGATTTGGCCAGCAGTGCCTATATATTCCACTGGGGCTCTGATCTGACTGAGGTCTCTAGGAACTATTGTGATGAAAACAATAAGTAATTTCTAATTCCTCTTTCATTTTAAATTAATTTCAGGCTGTGCTGTATTCATGACATTCTTTATTCAGTTTCTAAAACACCTATGACTGGCATTGCTACTCTCATTTATTCTCTGGGAAATGAGTATCACATTTCCAGTATTTGAACATTGGAGGAATAACGTTTTATTGGGTAGATGTGAAATGACCATGGGGAATTTTCCCAGTTTTCTTCCAAGTTTCTTGGGGCACTTAAGGAAGCTGTCACTACAACCCTAATTCTCAGACAGCCTCTGGCCCTTCACAATCCAATTCAGAGGACGGTTTTTCCTTCAGAGACAGAAAGGATGAGCATTGCTCCTGGTACCACCAGTTGCTCACAGCAGGGGACAGAAGCAGCAGCTGTCAAAGGCCTTTTATTTAATGTGTAATGGGAAAAGGCTTTTGTTCTGTGCAACCCATGATTTGTGTATTGAAATATGTCATCCCAGATCACAGAAGTAAAACAGCAGAGTACAGAATTAGGATTTGTCAACAAATTTGGAAATGGATAAAATACTTGCGTCTATAAGTTTAAAATACATGGGGTAGGGGGTATATTAGGATGTCTGAGTTTTACAGCTCAGTGCATTGAAGGCAATCCAAATACTTCACTGGGACTTCTGTACTACTAATTAAGGGTCACAGGTTTAGGTCCTAAGGCCCTTTGGGTCCTAAAATGTATCATACTCCACAGAAAAATTAGTCCCAGTCAGACTCTCATTGAAGTCAATGGCATTCTGTGTAGGAGAAATTTTTGTTGTTTATACAGAAGCCAGCATAGGTTCATTGACTTCAGGACTAATTTGCTATGTTAATATGCTACGTATGCCAATTTACAACAATTAGGGATCTGTCCCTAAAATTGCACCTTTACATACTCAAACTATTTCTCCCATAGTATCATAGAAATGTACAGATAAAAGGAACTTCCAGAGATCATCCATTACAACTCCCTGCAATGAGGCAGGATTAAGCATACCTAGACAGTTGCCAGCATACATTTGTTCAATCTGCTCTTAAAAACCTCCAGTGAAAGAGATTCTATAACCATGCTAAAGAGTCTGTTCAGGGTTTTGCCATCTTAGAAGTTAGAATTTTTCCCCTAATATCCAACTTAAATCATCTTTACTGCAATTTAATCTGATATTTTCTTATCCTTCCTCCAGTGGCCGTGGAGAATCCTTGAGCACTGCCTTCATAACAGCAATCTTTTACCTACTGAAAGACTTTGCATGTACTTCCTCATTCTTCTCTTTTCTTTCCACCTTTCCTCATAGGACATGGCTTTCTAAACCTCTTATCTTTCTTGTTGCCCACCTCTTGTCTGTGTAATTTGTCTCTATCTTTCTTAAGCATGCTGGCCAGAACTGAAGGCCTCACCAAGAAGGGCAGAATAATTATCTCCCTTATTTTACAGATGATACTACCATTAATACAATCCAGAATGAAATTTGCCTTTGTTGCAACCTTATATTGTTGATTTATATTTAGTTTGTAATACATTATAACTCCCTCCCCCCACATCCTTTTCTGCAGTTCCTCTGCTCCACTTGTGCACTTCATTTCTCCTTTCTAAGTGTAGCACTTTTGAATTCATCTTGATTGAATTTCACCATGTTGATTTTTCTCTCCTTTGTTAGGATTATCAAGATATTGATTATTTCCCCCAGAGCTTGGCATCATTCGCTTGTTAAATCAGTGAACTGTCTACTCCACCATCCAAACTGTTAATAAAAATACAGAATAAAAATTGGGCCTAGAACAGATCCCTGCATGAGATCACTTGAGATGTATTCCAGTTTGACATTTGCTGACTTCTTTTTCCAAGCTATTTCTTAACTAGTTATTTGGCCACTTGATAGTGATTACATCTAGATTAGTGTTTCCCATATCTGGTGGGCTTATGCTACACCATAGGCATGTCAGGCCCACTTGTGCCCCCTACTTCAGCCACTATTACGTCCCTCACTGGAAATTCCCCCCCAGTGATTGCTGCCAATTCCAATCACCAGTAGCAACTGCTGCTGATTGCTGCTGTAATTCACATGCCTGTGCCTCCCCCCACCCACAAAACTGTTATGACCCCCGAAGAAGATCACCCCATAGTTTGGGAAACACTGATCTAAAACATATTACCTTAGCTTGCTTATGAGACTGCCATGCAGGACTGTCAAAAGCCCTACCAAAGTCAAGATATATAAAATCTACTGTGTTCCCCTTCCCTCTAACCCAATAGGAAGTCATCTTGGTTTGATTTTCAGACTTCAACAATGAAGCTTGCTGATTAAGATCTCACAAACTAAAAGCGTGAAAATCCACACAGTGGAGAAACTGGGAATCTAGGATTTGATAATATCCTGCACTGAGTCTTTGAACACATTCAAAATAGGCTCTGGTTTCCTTTCTTTAACCACATATTTAGTGCAATTTAAGAGCAGTGCATGTGTAGGAAAACAAGTCTGAAGGGGAGACTGGTATTTTTCTGAGATGTGTAGCAATCATACAATTTTTTTTTGTAACCAAATATTGAATAGATTATACACGGACATGATGCCAAACTCTGTCCTTCCTAGAGAGGATAAATGCCTTTATCTTGTGCCTAGTATATGCTGACAGTATGTTAAACTCATTTCAGCAGCATACTTGAGGTTTTGACAAATGCATGCATCAGACGAGTTCTTTCCCAAAGACTTTTAGCTCCCTCTAGAGACTCCCTGCAGGGACACACAGGAGGATTTTTTAAAAATGAAAGCAAAATTCATGGGCAAAAATTTAATTAAGCATGTAAAATTCTGACTGAGAGCAAGCAGAAAATGGGCAAGTATTAAGAGCTGCCAGTTGGTCTTTTTTCACTTTATATTGCTTCTTTTTTCACTTTTTAAAACTGGATTAAGCATTATTTTTTAACCTGAAGATGAACTGAGGCATGTTTTTACTATTTTTAGGAAAGTAAAGATATACTTTATGAATAAAACCCAAATGACTTTGTGGATATTTTCAAAGACAGTCCTGAGCCTGAAGGTGAGTAGGATTTAAGTGAAAAGTGTTCATATGGGACCAAGGCTCCAAAAACTTTCACTTGCTTGTAGTGGTGACTTCTTAGATACTTTCATTTCAGTGATAGCAACTTTACTCCCTACTTATTGTTTATACATTCTTCCAAGCAATGGGAAAAATTTCCCTGTCAGTGTGGTATGTTGAGACTTTCTCTGCCTTAGTGACATCTGCCACTTTCCTGCAACTATAAATACCATACAACAATGGAACTTCACATTACTAATTACGATAGGTAGCTGAAATTGTCTGTCTGGATGGAAGTCTTTGAATTGCAAAGCTGTTGATGGTTCAACTGTTCTCACTGCACTGATGATTCCACTGTTACCCTGCTGAATTTCTCCCAGGGAGACAGTGTGCCTCATTTGTCATGTGTATCTCTCTGGAGGGCTGGAATACATTGTAGTCTGCTAATCTCCTGTTTGCTGGGATTCCCCTGTCACAGCCATGAAATAGTTTGACAGTGTGCTCTTTTGGGATTTGCTAGCCATTCATGTGTAGACTACTAGATTCCATCCTTGGGTATGAATGAGGGTGTTTACCTTCCAGTGACTTCAACTGTATTATTTAGGACTCCATTCAAAAAAGTCCTTTACTCACATCTGTAGAGAGATCCCCTGCAGTCTGGCTGGGAGGAATGAGACATAAGAATCATTCTCATGATGATTATTTCTATGAAAGCTTTTAACATTTGTTAAAAAACATGCCTACAAACTCAAACCAAGCATGTGGCAAGGCATCCTCTTGCCTGGATATTGACTCCAGAAGGGAAATGGGGGTTACATTTGTTTCATGACTAGCTTTTACTAGTTATATGGAAGGGGAGGCACTAACGCCACATTCATGAAGGACTTGACTACCATCAGACAGAAAGTTTTGCCATTGCTATGTGCTGAAATTGTTCCCTTGCTCATCATAAAGTGAATAGTTATAATGTAATTGTTCTATGTTCCCTATTATCCACTGTTCTGTATTCATACCTTACACCTAGAGCTATCAAACTCTAGGTCAAACAGACTCTATGCCTGTGGCACAAATGTTTCTCTAGTCAGATTGCAGAGGATGATGGGTTTAAGGCTGACCCCAAATCATTTCCTTAGGAGCCCCAATTTTTGTAATTTCTCAGTTGGTCTAATAAAAGGTATAATTTTGGAACCAAGAGTTCTAAATTTTTGCATTTTTTTTTGTCTCAGATCAACATGACTACCACATACATTCCCAAAACCAGGAGGGACATCTAGGCACATCTAACTGGGAAACCTATATCTGTGCACATTTTCAGCATGTCGTGCTCAAAAGAATAAAACATAGAACAGGGATTGTGTGGACAGGCCTGGAGCCCTTGCCACCTAGCTAAGCACTGTATAAGATGCATAGAGAGTGTTTGGAACGCTAAGCCCAGAGCAGGGACATTCTTGTTTAGAGAATGGCAAGTTACTTAACATGTTCATCTAGCAATGCTATGAGCAGCTCTGCACAGGATACAGACAGATGAAACAATCCTAGTGATATCACAGGGTGCCAGGATAAGCTGTTGCAATACAAGGGTAGCAAGACCTTTACGACTTCAATCTCTCATTCAAGGCTAAAGTTACACTGATTTAGGAAACTTGTATCCCTACAGATCATGTAGACATAAGAGTTATAGCCTATCAGCAGAGGGACACTCCCAAGCTGCGGCTTCCTCCGTCCCTTTTTAAATGGTTAAAAAAGTTACCTCTGTCTGAAGCCTCAGTTATGCAGCTGAGGTCTTATCTATACACTGCACGCACTGATTCATTTTAGAAGTTCATCGATATCAAAGGGAATTAAAGTCAACCATGAAACTGCACAACTCTCACAAAGTATATAGAAAACAAGCATGAAAAACAAGAGATGAAATAATGAGGTATCAAATAATACAGAAAGTAATGCATCCCTGGGAATCCTTATACTTGCCTGACTTGCACTTATATCCTACACCCTTCAAAAGTAAGCCTAACAGAAATTCTCCCCTGTCCCAAGGTGTAGGTTGTAGCCATGTTGTTCTAAGGACATAGGCAGACAAGGTTCTTTGGGTAAATCCAATAGTTTAAAAGATATCAGATTTACCCAAAGAACATTGTCACCTGTCCTGAAGGTCATGTGAGTGATAGATGCAACATTTAAGCCCTCAAAGCAGAGCTTCTGTGATATCTTAAGTACTGCATATTTCCACAGGGGGTGGATTTGAGAGAGAGGCAGTTGGATGGGAGCTGGAGAATCTCATCCCCCTACTCTACAGTCAGATGCTCAGCACCTTGCCCGATTGGGTTCCAGTAGGATAA